GTCGCCCTATGCCCTTGTTCACCACAACGAAAACATCTAATAGTAGGGTTAGAATTACCCTGCGGTGGCTGCTGAGCAGGACGGGACTCTTGAGGGCGAACTGGTCGACTGTTGTGATCGCTCCTGATCACTGGTCTCCTGTTTTGCTGTTTTTCAACAGCAAGTGCACGCTGGTATGCTTCTGAAACACTCCACAATGAATGAAGGCTGAGGACATCTTGCAAGGGCTGGCGTAAACCCCCCAAATATCGCGCCACCATCTGCTCCTCCGTCTCAGATAAATCGTTCCGGGCGACCAATTGGTAAAACTCCTCCGTGTAATCATCGACTGATCGCGCGCCCTGCCTCAACGCATGAAGTCGCTGAAATAAGGTTTGCGTGTAGCCGAAGGGAAGGAAGTGGCCCTTCATCTTCTTTTTCATCTTCTCCCAATCAGTGATCTTGGCTTTGCCCTGTCTTTCTCGTGAACGTCGTAACTGTTCCCACCACGCAGATGCTCTGCCCTTGAGTTTGATGGCGATCAGTTTCACTTTCACACGATCGGGGACTTCCTTATATTCAAAATACGCTCCACTTCATTAATCCAATCCACGAATCCCTCGGCCTGTAATGTACCAGAAAACTCAGGGAGATCGACCCGAAAACCGAGGTCTCCATGACGCTCCTCCCGACCACGGTGCTCCCGGAATCCTGCGCCCCGGAATCCTGCGCGATTGTGATATGGGTTTTCGAAAGTGGAATTTGTATCGTGATCAGAGGCCTCACGATCCTCTAAATCCTGCGCCGCTAGGCGCTGGGTTAATTCTGCGACTTGCCTCTGCAAATCCGCAATCATCACATCCTGAACGCTGCGATCACGGCGTTGGGCTTCCTCATTCGGAACCTGCTCACGACGACCACGACCACGACCTCCAGCCATTGAAACTGGTGAAATTTCCCAAGAAGATGTTGAAGCTCTGATACCAACTGACGCCAGACAGAATAGTGATTATCCTGTAGGCTAGCTCCGACAGACGATTCACAAGAGAAAATTCGCCCAAAAACCAGAGAAAAAAGTCTCTAGGGTTTAATAAAATATTATAAAATCAATAACTGTCTCAAAAACAGTCCACAAGCCGGACTGTTATAGCTAAAAAAAATCGTCTTTATTCGAATTTTGCCAAAAATAGCAAAAATCGTATTTATTCGAATTTTGCCAAAAATAGCAAAATCCCGAAAATCACTCTAAATCGAAATTCGAAATAAAATAAGCAATCTCCCAAAAATCCGGTCTAAATCGGATTTAAATTGACTTCCTAATTAACAATCGAAATATTACCATAAATAGTAAAAAATAACTAAATCTAGTGATTCGGAGGGGAAAACGGCAGAATTTGAGGTTGAAAAAAAGGCCACATGGAGCGTAGCTCAATGTGGAGAGCGTGCGCGTCGAAAAGAGCTTTCCGGATTGGGGTCTTATGCGCGATTCTGACACCTGTAGCCAAAGTTATGGCCAAAAGACTGAAACATACTCAAAACGACCCCAATAAGGAACATGTCACAATCAATTCCCGCCTTTGCGCTGATCTGCCAACTCATGGTATCTCAGCGCCATCAACGTGCAATCTGACAGCTCAGCATCATCTGTCTCAGATCCCCCTGCATCATTTATTGACAAAATGAATTTCAGAAGGTTAAACAAGATTTGTTCCTTGTAGAAGTATACCTGATAATATATTAATCACTTTGGAGGTTGTCACTCAGTGTGAAAAAAAGAAAGGGAAGAAGGGATATGTGGCTATTAAAAGATTTGGAAAAAAACTGTGATTGATTGAAATGGTCTTACATTGATGATACGTTATGGGATATTGGTTGTTCGAGGGGGACCCGTTAACTTATTATGAGTTGTATCTCCATAGTTTCAACCCAAATTATTTGGTTTGAAGCCTTAACAGACACCTTTCTAGCATGAATTGCCTTGCACAAGCGCTACAGTCGCTGTGGATGATGGCTCCTGAAAGCTCATAAAACTATCGAGAAATTTCCTTGCTCTATACCATTTATTTTTCGTAGATGATTTTGTATTATTTGCGGAAGCGATTTTGTCACAAATGGATGTGATTCAACGAATGCTGACATATTTTTGTAATAGCTTCTAACATAAAGTGAGCCTCATAAAGACCAATATTGCTTTTCGGATAATGCAGAAGAGCACCTAAGAGAAGAAATCAGTGGAAGCTTTCAATTCACGTGTGTGAATGAGCTAGGAAAAAATTTGGGAGTAACGTTTCTCCACAAAAGAGACACATGCAACGTACATCTATTTAATCAATCAAGTAAAGAAAAGGTTAGCGGGTTGGAAGGCGAAAACTATATCCTAGCTGAGCGGATATATAGTTATGGCCAAAAGCATGCTAACTGCGCTCCCAACATATTCAATGCAAACAACTCATTTGCCCAATGAGATTGAGAAACTCATTCAACTTTATCTGAAAAACTTTGAAGAAAAGAGAGGAGTCTACCTTGTCCGTTGAGAGGACGTGAGCAAACCTTTGAAAGTAGGAGGTTTAGGAATTCAAAGACTACAATCCAAAAATGCGACGTTTATGTTGAAATTAGCATATCGGGTGATTTTATGTTGAGAATAGCTCTGGACCAAAGTGTTACCTGCTAAGTATGGGGTTGTAAAACCTGCACCGATCTCAATTTCAAAGATAGATAGCTCTCGAGTTTGGAAAGGCTTAATGATATCTGGGATGAAATTTGAGTAGGATTGTTATGGAATATGGGAAGCGGGAACACAACAGACTTCTAGAATGATCGCTGGCTGGAAAACAACGACAGCTTGAGAGATGATCGTACATACATAGCAGATTCGAGTGCAAACAAAGGATGGTGAGTGGTTAAGGCGTGTGAGTGCAAACAAAGTGATGGTGAGTGGTTAAGGCGTGTGCCTGTTAAGTGTATAGGAAGGGGGCTTTCTTACCTGTAACCCCATTCGTTGTCATACCAGAAAACGAGTTTCACCAAGTTCCCGTACAGAGCAATACCGGCTTTGGCATCGAATATGCTCGACCAGCATCAGCGTTCGATTTCAGGAAATTTTCAAAATTTATATAAATAAAATCAGAAGCAACTAGAAGTCGTTACATGAAACTTGCCTGCTGTCACCAATGACAATGAAATCTGTGGAGACATCTTCTTCAATGTAACCCAAAATTCCCTTAAGCTTGTCTACAAATTATAATAAGACTTACTTGACAGCAGCTTTGATCTCATCATATGGTGCGGACTTCTCGAGCTTTTCGGTGAGGTCCACGACAGATACATCAACAGTTGAAACTCGGGTGGATATTCCGGTTAGTTTCCCATTGAGGGCAGGAAGAACCTTTCCAACAGCCAACATATTCACAAGTATCGTCGAGTACATATATAAGAACCTCAACATTAAAAATCTTTACTTATTTCCAAGCTAACCACAAATACCGCAAAATAAGGACTAAATCCAATCAGGTTTGAAAATATACCTAGGCAGCATCGGTGCTGCTGGGAATGATGTTGAAGGAAGCAGCTCTACCACCTCTCCTGTCCTTCATTGATGGTCCATCAACATTCTTTTTCGTAGCTGTAAATAAAAAAAAAGCTTAAATATAAAGAAGTACCTAAACTATAGAGTTTTTCACGAATATGTGCCTAAACTATTTTCTGAATGATTTTGGTGTCTATCGTTACAAACATTACCACTTTAGGCATCCGATCCGTCAATGGCGTTAATTTTCTCCGTTAAGTGAGACGTGTCACAATCTAGTGTTTTTGAATTTTTTTTAAACATTAAAAATATGAGTATATTTATAATAAAAAAAGCTCAATTCTTAGTCATACCCCGTCGTAATTGCCGTCGGTTGGCCTCATAATCGCGTGGGATCATGATTTTCATCATAGGGTTCACGGGTATAAAACGTCAATTCGTCGTCGATCGGTCACGATTTTATAAGGGTTTTGGTCGCCAAGGGAGGTGAGATCAGGTGGAGCTTCGTCAACGGCAAAGGGCGGCAGTCGACGTGGGCAAGAGTTGAAAAGAAGGTTTTCAAAATTTTGGAATTATTTCAAATTTTCTGTATTTTTTAAAATATATATATATATTAATTTTTTTAATTTTAAATAATTTTTTTAAATTAATAGATCGTGGCATGTATCAATTAACAGAAAAAAATTAATACCGCTAATGGTCTGTGGCCGAAATGATTCCAAAAAGTAATTTAACTATCTATTTGTCAAAAATGTTATCGTTTAAACACTTATTTTGTATTTAAGAAAAAAGAATCTCTAACAGTTGGATGATTATTTATATAATTACCCTAAATAAAAATATAAATATAAATAGATAAACAATATTGATATAATACAAGAGATAAGTCAAACGGAAATGCTACCGGAAATGCTTACCTATTGCAAATGCAACCATTTCCGCTAACCACATCTTCCAGTGTATTCCAAGGCATAGATGCATGAATTGCAAGCCGAATAAATAGAACGGCAGCCCCACTTGGCAAATGGTCGTGGCTACCCACTCATCTTTCTCGTGGTCACAACTCTCGTCTAAGGATAGATTATGGAGTAATATGGACAGTAGCATTTCTATTTTTTTTTAAAACAAAATTGTTGATAATTTGTTATATTCTCTAATATAATTTTATATAAATTTATATTCTTAACCTAAAATCCTAAATCTGTTACTAAACATCATTTATATTTATAATCGTATTCTATAAATTATAAACTAAATATTTTTTTTAAAAAGGCATCAAAATATACATTGAAAAAAAAATATAATAATTTGACTGTAAAGGTCGGCGGCTGTAAATTGCTTACTACTTTTCCTCACGGCCCATGTGAGGGTTTCGTGTTTAGGAAAAGAAGGAAAAAGAAAACGAGTTTGTTCAAAATTCTAAAAGCTGTGTCCCAGACGCGTCAAACTTGGAAATATAATCCGTATATATATATGGAATAGGTGTTTTGTTGGGAAGTTGCCTTTGACGTGTAATTGCTTCCCTTTTAAAAAGTTTCTTGGAGAAGGGGTCATTCCCTCCCTTGCGTTTTGCTCGCTCTGTCTTATATCTCTCTCTTCGTTTCATCCGTAATCATGGCTTCTGCAAACAGATGGCTCAGACCTGAGGTATTCTTTTCACTTCTCTTTCTTAATTCATCCTTTGTTGTGATCTTTAAAGACGATATATTCATTTTATGTTTAACTTCTTGTTCGTTTAGAACAGATCTACGCGTTGGGGTAAAAACAAAACTATGAAAATGTTAGGTACATTAGGAACAATTATACTTTGGTATTCTTTATGTTATGATCTGTAAATCTCGTATCATAGACTGTGTCTTATACATTCATGCTGATATATGAATCTGAGGCCTGAACTTGGATCTTATCTTGTTTCATCAAATTAGCATTGAATCTATAAAAGTTTGTGTTTGACACAATAGGTTTATTGTTTTCTCTAATTCTTTTATTTTCTTTCTCCATACCATCATTGACTGTGTCTTTTTGCTTAATCTAAAAAAAAATTGAACCATTTAAAACAGCCTCCTTACTCAGATCATCAACAACACTCGTATAGTATTCATGTTTGAATATTTGTCTAATGCCAACGTATTTAGAACTCTGTTTCATTTACAAATCTTAAAAAACAAATCAATTGCTCATGGTTTTCTTCCCTTCAATTCCTGTTTAGGTGTATCCGCTATTTGCATCGGTGAGTGTCGCCGTTGGCATTTGTGCTATGCAACTTGTGAGGAATATCACCACCAACCCTGAAGTCAGGTATACATTATATATATATATATTGAGTAATTTGATTTTACCCAAAGTTAGATTCAGAGTATTCAAAGTTGGATTGCAGAAAATTGAGATAACAAGGCACACGTTTTTGTATCTGACATAGGGTAACCAAAGAAAAGAGGGCTGCTGGAATTCTTGAGAACTTTGAAGAAGGTGAAAAATATGCAGAACATGGTCTGAGGAAGTTTATCCGCAAGAGACCACCTCAGATCATGCCATCTGTTAACAACTTCTTCTCTGACCCAAATTAAAGCAATTGCTGAATTCTTCAAACTTTGAGCTGCCTATGGAATTTATTGAATTGGAGAGTAAAATTGTTTTTTCTTTCACATTTTAGAAGACAGGTACAAGACAATTGTATTGTTGGCTGTCAAGGAATATTATTATTGAATAATAAAATAAATAACCAGAGGAGTTTAATATGTACTTACATATGAACCTATGAGATTGAGAAATGAAATTGAGAAAATATTTTTTTTATTTGTATCATATTTCACTGTTCGATCCAGGTTTGATTTATTTATATGAACCTATTTGTTTTAAATTAATTCAGTTCGGCTAAAAGCTAATCTTTTAAATGAAAAACTATCATACATATATATGCAAGCTGCAAGGAATAACATAAATCGTACCTGATACATCTCGATTTTACTCTATCAAATTTAAAACTTAATTGTTAAAATTTTATGTTCGAAAAAACTGTATTTGTAAATTGTGTGTACATTATCAATAATTCAAAAAGGGCTTTGAATAAATATTATTTTATAATTACATATACTATTAAAAAATGATTATTAGAGTTAAAAGCAATGCATTGTGGTCCATTTTCATGGTTCATTGACGTTTCTGTATCCTAGCACAAAGGTTTAGAGCAATAATCCCACATTGGCAAGACAGAGACGCCGTGAGCACTAGATCCAATATAAATAACCGAAAGTTAAACCCGTAGCCATGCAATGAGCTCAGAGTGAATTATTCTTTTACCTTTTACTAAAGAATACCGTGTGATTGCTGCACAGATAATGGGATACGCCTGTTTTTGTAGGGATCTTTCTTTTGAAAGTGACCTTAAAATGAAGCTTTTGGTTTGTTCACTTTGGATTCCATATTTTTCCTTTTAGTGTTAATTTCGAACTTTCAATGATGTCTATTTATTTGAAATATATATTTAGTTTTTATAGGAGAGTTATCTTCAACACCAGGATACAGAACCTGAGTTCAATTTAACGAAGTTAATACTTTTCAAAAGTAAAACATGTACACATTGCTGTCATAAGTAAATTATATATTAATTAATTAAAGGATGTCATGTATAAAATGATTAATTAAATATAATATATCTCTTTAAAAGAATTACGTTCATATGTTGTATTAATTATAACTTAACATAAATTCATATATGGTGTAGAAATCAATCGCTATATAATAAAACAAAATACTCATCATTAGTCAACCAAAATTAAAACCAACTAATCATAGCTTCACATCTAAAAGGTATCTAAAAATCAACTATAACAAATCAGATACAACTAATTATGGCTTCACGTCTAAATGGTGTCTGAAAATCAATTATAATAAATCAAATACGTAAAGCAATAGGTGAATATGAGAGAAATTAACTAACATACAATCAAAAAATTTACAATAGTATATTGACAAAAAAATTTGATTAAAAAGTTAATCAAGCTATTATATCAAACACACTTGAGCGATCATCTGAGTAACTTTCGGTTAACTTAAAAAAAAGAGGAAATATCAATCAACATAAACCTATAAAATATCTAGAGATTAAGAAAGTTTTTTTTGAGTGGTTTCTCCGATACAAAGAATATGTAAACATGTCCAGATAACTAATTTTTGAGAAGGTAAGAGAGATGATGGAACTTTTATACCACAATAACTTTTTGAGTCGCACAAATTTTCTAAGATCATATTTTACTAAATTGTCACAATTATATTTGTATTTTATAGAAATATTAATTTATAATGTTGAAGGGGGCATAAATTTATATAGGAGTCTTCCGAAAAAACATTATCTTATTAATTTATCAAAATTATTAAATTTATATAGGAGTCTTCCGAAAAAACATTATCTTATTAATTTATCAAAATTATTAATTTAGATCTTGGGCTAAGTCGAGACCAAAAAAATTATGGCTTAAAGGGTTACTTTTGCCTATATAGTAGACTTAATTTACCATTTTCGTTCCTATAATATTTTCACATCAATTTAACCCTCGAAAGTTGTTTAATTGCATCAATGTTTAAAATATTTACTATTGTTTAGGGTTTTAAGTTGGAGTTTAAAGATTAATGTCTAAGGTTTAGGGTTTAAAGCTTTAAGTTACTTTTAGGGTCTATGTTTAGGATAATATATTTAAACAACTTCGAGGGCTTAAATTGTTGTAAAAATATCATATGGGTAAAAAAGATAAATTGAGTCTATTATATAGATAAAAAAATAACTCTTAAATAAAAAATTATTGTTTTAGATAGATTATTACTTTATGGAATTACTATATCTATTTCTTACACAGAATACAGTCAAACTTATATGATGCCACCTGAGTTTTACAACAAAGAATGGTAAGAAAATTGCTCTATTTCACATCTGACCTTGCAGTTGCACCAGTAAACTCTGCATGCTATCTAGTTTCTGTCTTATTTCTTTAATATACAAACGATGATTCTCCTCCGAAAACGATGAATCGGATAATTCAGTGACGAAAGTAGCACACTTGGCCTGTGAACCCAAAACTGCCTCCTCAAGCAAAGCCACAGTTGAGAGCTGGTCTTCATTTATCATTTTTGATAATGGAGACTGTCCCATACTTCCAGCACTGCCTCCTCGTTTGAGCTTTATCCGATGAGAAAATCTTGTGGAAACCCTCAATCCCAATCAAAGCTTCATAGAGGGTTGTGACATTGTAGCAGACAAATTTGTTGTCTTCAGCGACTAGAGACTGATTCTGAAGTGAAAAACTTTGCACACAGCTGGGGTTCGACGCAAGCTGCTAGAAAAATATAAAATGTACTGGATGCATCTTGAGTTTTACTTATACGAAATTTTAAAATGTTTATTCGAAGTACTATATATATATATATATATATATATATATATATATATATATATATATATATATATATATATATATTGTATTCAGTGCAATGTCATCTTGGTCCCTTTTTTCTTTATTTATTGAAGTTAGTCTGGTTGGCCCGTCTAGCAATAAAGCTGCAGGGCACTAATCCCATATGGACAATAAACAGCACCCCGCATTCCAGAAAAAGTATAAATATCCGCAAATTAAACTCAGAGTAGCACGCAGCCATACAGTGAGCACAAAGCGAACTATTCTTTCGCCTTTTACTAAAGAATACCGTGTGCTCTCTGCTCAAAGTGGCATACGCCTATTTTTGGAGGGTTTTTTCTTTGGAATAAGCCCTAAAATCTGAGTTTAAGAGTTTAACTTTTCGATATATTGGTTTTTCAAGGCCTGTAATTTCAGTAAGAAAATTGAGTTTTTAAGAGATCACTTTTCTCTATTTCTATAGAAACATTGGTTGTTTCTTCAGCATGAGTAGAGTTGTGATCTATGTTTGGTTCTTCCCCAAGAAGAGGACTTGTTTGAGCAATCATGGAAATCAGTTTCGAAAGGTTGTATATAGGTTTTTTTTGCTCATGTGAAGTTATACTTATAGGACTAGCGATTTATTTAGTAAGGCGGGCACACATATATTAATTAATTATTGAAGTGAGATATATATTAATTATTGAAATTATTTATTTATATGAGGTGGGTACAAATAAAATTTTGGAATACAACTGACATCTAATATAGAGAAATTTGGATTCGAGGAAATTTCGGATTTCAGGTAAACATTAATCCTAGATATGTTTTGCATCGCATCGAGTGGGCACAAATATTAGAGAATTTTAATTCGAGGAAAATTCGAATTTCAGGTAAACATTTACCCTAGTTATGTTTTGCATCGAGTGGGGACAAATAAAATTTGGACACCCACAGTAAAATGCGTCATAATGTTTCCTTCTGGGATCCGTTAGACTTTATAAAATTTAATTAGGGGAAGGTGATGAGATATAATTTGGAAAATAATTTGATTTTGGAGTCGCCACCAACCTTTAAGTTAGGTAGGTTGGAAACTTTAAACGACAAAAAAATGGTATGCGTTTTACCAAAGATTCATTTTAAGAGTCTGGGAGTCGAATACGTGAGGGGAAGGGTGAGCACCCCCACAACGCCCAAATTTGGTACTTAAACGATTATACGGTGTTTAAATATTAGGAATTACAACTTCAAAATATATTTAAATTATGATCCTTCTATTTATTCAACTTTATTCAACAAGTGTCAATTTTCGGATAATGAATGCCCTTTTGTGTGAACAATCTTCGGGAATGCCATTCCTTTGTAATTATGAGACTTTCCATAGATTCCCATCACAAAAAGACATTATTTCATATTTTCCACAAAAATAAAATAAACTTAAATGAAACAAAATAAAAATGAAAAGAGGTAAAATATAATCAAAATAAATAAATGTAAAGCGAAGAAAACTATCGAACCAAAAAGCATCAGTGTGAAAAATTCTCAAAAAGATACCTTCACTTGTAGTTGGGATAAATTTCCCTCACAATGAAATTTTCTCATTTTGTCGTATATTAGAAAACAATGATTTATAAAAAAAACAAGGTGGAAATAATAATATAAATATATACATGCAGAACAAAGAAATAAAATTTCATACAAAAAAATGCTTACAACAATTACATAATTTACATACATGAAATTAAAATGATCATTAAAACAAAGTTACAAATTTGGACTAAAATACACATTTACAAACATGATAAATTAAAATATTAATAAGAATTTAATCATACCTAGTAAATAAGGATTAAATAGTCAAAAATAGAAACTTTAGAGACATAATAATAAACAAACATAAAATCATTGCTAATGTGTAAACATTATATAACCTGAGTATTAAAGCAGAAATTAATCCCAAAGCAAAATGCAGGACCAAAATATAAAAAAGGTAAAATGTCATGCCCAAAACAAAAACTTAGCAAAAACATACAACAATATGAACAAGATGGTTAAAATGAAACAATAACAATTTATGATGCTTAAGCGCGAATAAGTGAAAATACAATGGCCCACATGGGAATATAAACATAAACATATTTAACGAGAAATACAAGGCTAAAATGAAATATAAACAAATAAAGAGCTCAAAGTAAAAAGAACTGAAAATTCATTGATGACTAAAATGAATTAATACAAAGTTACAAATGGCCCAAAGCGTAATTAAACCACACGCTAAAACACAACCCAGGTCCTTCCCTGAACGACGTCGTTTTATAAGGCTTATATAAGCCTTAGTCTAAGGCTAAAACACTCCCTCCCCTCATTTTTTTTTTGTTTCTGCCTGAGAGAGAGAACAATTCTCTCAACTCAAAATTCTCTCAACTCTTCTCCTCCCTCTCTCTATTCCTTCGCCGTAAGGGACGACTTGAGAGCCACATCCACCACAAGGCGGCGACGATGTCATAGGAAGCCGAATCGACAACGGCTTCCCCAATCCTCTCTCTCTTTTTTCCTTTGAGAACCCAACCTCTAGAACCTAAACCCGCCTGTAAAAAAATGATGGCCCCCTTTACCTTCTGTGATATTTTCCTTTACACCGCCGAGCACCACCACCATGATTAGCCAGGAACGGTAAGGCTTTCTCTCTGTATTTTCTTTTGTTTGAATATGGTTTTGGTATCTCTTTTTTTCCACGAATGGTTCTCTATTTTTTCCTCTTTCTGGTTTTTTCGCCTTCTTCCAATCCTCCTCCCTCTCTGTCTTATGGTCCCTTTTTGTTGATTTTCTCGTGATATGATGATATCTAGGCTAGATATTAGATTTCTGATTTTTGGGTGGTTGAATCCCGAATTTTCGGGATTATAGGGTATTTTAAAATGGGGTTTTGATTTGGTTCACTGTTGATGATATTTCTGTTAATTTTGTGGTTGTTGGTGCACTGTGGATGATGGTATCGGCTCGGAAGTAATCAATGGTGGTTCACGCAGCGGTTGGAGGAGCGCGTGCATCTCATGCGCCGACGGACTGCTCATATTCCCAATGGCGGCGGTGGCTGGATAAATTAGGGTTTAAAACCCTAACTAAGCCAGGTCGGGTCAGTTATTGGGCCAAGATGAGTCGGATCGGGTCCTGGGTTGCTATGTTGCAGTTGGGCTTTTGAGCGAGTCTGGGTTAATGTAATGGGTTAGCTGAGTTGAGTCAACTAAGCTTGGTGTTGGGCTTGTAGTTGTAATTGTTGCGGAATACGGCTATCGGATAGAGCAAAATCGCAACTGATAATTTGAGAAAATAAATAGGTAAAGAAGACACAAATTTACGTGGAAAACTCCTAAATAATATAGGGTAAAAACCACGGGCAACAGTAGAAGAATTTCACTATGAGAAAATAGCAATTACAACTTCTCTCGATCTACCAAGGAGAAAACAATGACAATTCTCTCTTGATAAAAAGGAGAAAACAACTCTCAAGAAACTCTCTAAATTCTCTAGTATTGGGAGAAAGCTAAAATGATTTGGGATGGTTTTGAAGCTAAATGAGCTAGAATATTTATAGTTGAAGCTTAAGGACTAATCTTATAAATACTCTAAAGTACAATGACTAAATTGTGATATTACCATTGTCCAAAAAATTAACATTTTCCAGCTACTTTCGGTGCCAAATTTCCAGCTAATTTCGGTGCATTTATTATACACACTTTCCACCGAAATTTGCCATCAATTTGGCCACTTGAATGTTGACTTTTCAACAGTAATTGGGCTGGCCTACAAAAAATGTAATAATAATAATAATAATAATAAAATAAAAACGAGAACCCGGACAAAAACGGGTCTCTACAAAATGTATTATAACGAGCTGTGCAGTTGTACTCCTAATTAGCTCTTGTAATCTTTCATGATCTAACTCAAAAGAATGTCTCTTCTATTCAAACTAAAGTCCAGAAGTACTCCTTAGTACATGTTAAGAGTTGTATATTAACATACTCGAATCCTAAACTCTACCCAAACATAACTCTACACTCAAACCAATCTTGACTTGAGAAGTATATCTTCTCAAGTAAAATCCGATTCAACCTGAATTTTGAGAGAAGTCTTATTATAAATTGTGAACAAGTTTAAAGGAATTTTGAGTTACATTGAAGAAGATGTTGTCTCCACATATTTCATTGGTGACAGCAGGCAAGTTTCATGTAACGACTTCTAGTTGCTCTGCATTTTATTTATATAAATTCCAAAACTTTCCTGAAATGGAATGTTGATGCAGGTCGAGCGTACTCGATGCCAAGGCCGGTATTGGTTGGAGCGGGAACTTGGTGAAACTCGTTTCCTGATATGACAACGAACGAGGTTACAGGTAAAAAAGCATGCCTTCATTTTTATCTCCTTTTGAAGTCTGGTTATTTTGACAAAGCTTGTACCGTATTCTGGTTATTCTGTTAACAACTTCTTCTCTGGCCCAAATTAAAGCAATTGCTGAATTCTTCAAAGTTTGAGCTGCCTATGGAATTTATTGAATTGGAGAGTAAAATTGTTTTTTCTTTCACATTTTAAAGACAGATACAAGACAATTGTATTGTTGGCTGTCAAGGAATATTATTATTGAATAATAAAATAAATAACCAGAGGAGTTTAATATGTACTTACATATGAACCTATGAGATTGAGAAATGAAATCGAGAAAAAGAAAAAAAATTGATTTGTATTAGATTTCACTGTTCGATCCAGGTTCGATTTATTTATATGAACCTATTTGTTTTAAATTAATTCAGTTCGGCTAAATGCTAATCTTTTAAATGAAAAACTATCATATAGATATATACAAGCTGCAAGGAATAACATAAATCGTACCTGATGCATCTCGATTTTACTCTATCAAATTTAAAACTTAATTCTTAAATTTTATGTTCGAAAAAATTACGTTTGTAAATTGTGTGTACGTTATCAATAATTCAAAAGGGCTTTGAATAAATATTATTTTATAATTACATGTACTATTAAAAAATGATTATTAGAGTTAAAAGCAATGCATTGTGGTCCATTTTCATGGTTCATTGACGTTTCTGTATCTTAGCACAAAGGTTTAGAGCAATAATCCCACATTGGCAAGACAGAGACGCCGTGAGTACTAGATCCAATATAAATAACCGAAAGTTAACACCAAAAAATCATGCAGTCACGCAGTGAGCACAGAGCAAACTATTCTTTCGCCTTTTACTAAAGAATACCGTGTGATTGTTGTAGATAGTGGCATACGCCTATTTTTGGAGGGCTCTTTCTTTTGAAAGTGCCCTGAAATTGAAGTTTGAAGCTTTTGGTTTGCAAAACTTGGTTTCCATATTTTTCATAGAATTGTGAATTTCGAAGTTTCGAAGTTGTCTATTTATTTGAAGAATATATTTAGTTTTAATAATAGAATCTTCAACACCAAGATACAGATCTTGAGTTAAATTAAAGAAATTTCTACTTTTCATAAAGAAAACATGTAAACATTGTATTCGTAAGGAAAATATATAGTATTAAATAAATAAATAAATTATAACAAATTAGATACCAACTAAATCTAAAAGCTGTCTAAAAATCAATTATAACAAATTAGATACCAACTAAATCTAAAAGGTGTCTAAAAATCATCTATAACAAATCAGATACCAACTAATTATAGCTTCACATCTAAAAGGTGTATAAAAATCAACTATAACAAATCAAATACATAAAGCAAAAGGTGAATATAAGAGAAATTAACACTCAAAAAATTTACAATAGTAGATTGACAAAAAAATTAATTAGAAAGTTAGTCAAGCTATTATATCGAACACACTTAAGCGATCATTTGAGTACCTTTCGGTTAACTTTAAAAAAAAGGAGGGAATATCAATCAATACAGACCTATGAGTGATTTCTCCAATACAAAGAATATGTAAGCATGTCCGGAGAACTAATTTTGGAGAAGGTAAGAGAGACGATGAAACTTTTATACCCCAATATCTTTCTCAGTCGCACAAATTTTCTATGATCATATTTTACTAAGTTGTCACAATTATAATTGTATTTTATAGAAATATTAATTTATAATGTTGAAGGGCCCATAAATTTATCTTATTATCAAAATTATTAATTTAGATCTTAGGCTAAGTCGGGACCAAAACAATTATGGCTTTAAGGGTTACTTATGCCTATGTAGTAGACTTAATTTACCATTTTCGTTCCTATAATATTTTCGCATCAATTTAACCCTCGAAAGTTGTTTAGTTGCATCAATGTTTAAAATATTTACTATTGTTTAGGTTTTAAGTTAGAGTTTAAAGATTAATGTGTAGGGTTTATGATTTAAGGCTTTAAGTTAATTTTAGGGTCCATGTTTAGGATAATGTAATTAAACAACTTGGAGGGCTTAAATTATTGCAAAAATATCATAGGGACAAAAATGATAAATTGAGTCTATTACATGTATAGAAGTAACTCTTAAATAAAAAATTATTATTTTAGAGAGATTATTTGTAATACCCAATATCAAGCCAGTGACTTTATTGAAAAGATTTAAAATTTAAAGACTCAATTATATAAATGATAAAAAGGGAAATGATTGGAATAGTGTTTATGACCAATTTGTATAAATGAATGAATATAGAGGGTATTTAGGTCCTTTAAGGAGAAATAAATTTAAAATTCATTCCTTATTAGGGATTTAGGAAGAAAAAGGGGAAAGTTAAACCATTAGGATTATCTCTTTTTTTCTTCCCCGTTCAAGGACCATCCTCATAGCCAAAGGTAAGATTTAATTTAACCAGATCTTCTTCTTGTTTTGGGTTGTTGTTGGAACATTGAGTATTATGGAAGCTTAAGGAAGGTTAAGTAAGATTAAAACTAGGAGATGGTTGAAATATTTGAGATTGAAGAAAATGTGCTTTTGAATGTATGTTAGGATATGAGTTTTTACTGATGTTTATTAGTATATTTGACTTGTGAAAGAAGTAAATAAGAGATTAGAAGCATGGGGTGGGATTAAGAACATGTTAGAAAAAGTGGTATGATTATTGGGTAGAATTGTTCTTTGGAAGTTTGAGATGTTATAAGAAGTTAAATAAGGGAAGTTAGCTAGGATAAGTAAAGAAGAGTTTAATGGTATTGGTGGGTGTAAATATAAGGAAATTTGATCAAATTGGGTAAGATTCGGGTTGAAAAATGGAAAATCTGGGTTAGGTATCGATACTGATAGAACAGTACCGATACTATAGGCTTAAAATGGATAAATCAGCTAAGTAGTATCGATACTAATGTAAGTAGTATCGATACCAATAGGGGGTATCGATACTATGAAGAAGGTATCGATCCCATTGATAACAGAATGCAGAAATGGTATCGGTACCGTAATAGAGTATCGGTACCATAGTATAGTAGTATCGATACCATAATATAGAAGTATCGATACCATGGTATGAGTATCGATACTATTGAGCTAGAAATTTTAAGATAGACTGAGATTGTTATAGAAAATTTAATAATAGTATTTTTGAGTAATGTTTATGTATAAATGTTAGGGAATACTAACAATTTATATTGTACATGTCTTTAATGGATGCTTAAGTAGATCGAAATCAAGTTCCCGAGTCAAGCAAAACGAAAGGCAAAGGCAAAGTAGCAAAGTAATCAGAATTACGTTTTGGTTATAATAGCGAGGCAAGCCAAGTGAGTCCATTTATTATGTACATATGTGATGACAGTCATAGACGTATGATGCTTAATATATGTATGGTGATTACCAAATGACACTTTGCGTGCAAAACTAAGAAATTCATAATAAGTTATGAATTTCTGTATGGGCACTTTGTGTGCAAAATTAAGAAATTCATAATAAGTTTATGAATTTCCGTATGGGCACTTTGTGTGAAAAACTAAGAAATTTATAATAAGTTTATGAATTTCCATATTGGTAGTGGGTGTACAACCCACGTAAATTATAATAACTTTGTGAATTACCGTATTGGCATTACGTGTGCAAACTATAGAGTTTATAATGAATTGAAAAATCTAATTGATATTATAAATAATTATTAGAGTAGAAATTGTTCTAAAATAAAAGACTAAATGCCTAACTGTGCATTTGGCAGAAAGGTGCCAATAATGCAAGTTAGAAGAAATGTTAAAAGCCTTTAGGATAAAAGACTAATGCCTAACAGTGCATTTTGGCAAAAATGTGCCACTAATACAAGTTAGATGAAGAACAGTGCATAATTGGCATGAAATTATGACATAAATGAAAATGTATAACAGTGAATAATTGGCATGAAATGATGCCACATATAAAAATACATAGCGGTATATTAATGGTATATTAGGTGTCGCTCATTGATAATTAGAAAAGATAAAGGACCATTTGGAACTTTGGTGCAATATTTGTACAATACTTTCTCATTTAACGTACATAGGGCAAATAAAGAATAATTGGGAAAAATATATCGAATGATAGGTATGCTGGGACTACTAAGAATGATTTCGATGATTGTATGAAAGAAAAATATGGTTTAACCGAGAATGATTTATCTTATCCTTGTGGAGTATGTGATTTAATTCATCATTAAATAGTCACGAGATACTTATGTATAAATTACAGATTAATTACATATTATGTCTCACTAAATATACTAATGTGTGTTGATTTTACGCGTAGGTAACAACAAAGACTAGTCGGTACTGGGAGCAGGAGCAACTATCATCAATCTAAGGTTGACTCTCATCAGTAACAGTAGGACAATCATGTTAATTATGAAAAATTACTGACATGTAATCGAAATAAGAAAAGTTGCTCTAGGATGTATTTAAGTGATAACTTTGGTAATAGTTTTCAACAACTGTTTTTATGTTGTATAAAATGTTTTTGGTTTTAAATTTCAAGACAAAATTTTACGGGTTTCAAATGGGAAATGCTTTAAAAATGATATGACTTTGTATCTCGTGTACGGAAGATATACGGGAGATGGGTGTTACATTATTACTTTATCGAATTACTATACTATTTCTATACACATAATACAGTAAAACTTATATTATGCCACCCTGAGTTTACAACAAAGAATGGTAAGAAAATTGCTCTATTTCACATCTGACCTTGCAGTTGCACCAGTAAACTCTTCATGCTATCTAGTTTCTGTCTCATTTCTTTAATATTCAAACGATGAATCGGATAATTCAGTAACGAAAGTAGCACACTTGGTCTTTGAACCCAAAATTACCTCCTCAAGCAAAACCACAGTTGAGAGCTGGTCTTCATTTATCATTTTGATAATGGAGACTGTCCCAAACTTCCAGCACTGCCTCCTCATTTGAGCTTTATCCGATGAGAAAATCTTGTCGAAACCCTCAATCCCAATCAAAGGTTTGTGACATTGTCGCAGACAAATTTGTTGTCTTCAGCAACTAGAGACTGATTTTGAAGTGAAAAACTTTGCACACAGCCGGGGTTCTACGCAAGCTGCTAGAAAAATATAAATGTACTGGATGCATCTTGAGTTTTACTTATACGAAATTTAAAATGTTTATTCGAAGTACTATATATATATATTGTATTCAGTGCAATGTCATCTTGGTCCCTTTTTCTTTATTTATTAAAGTTAGTCTGGTTGGCCCGTCTAGCAATAAAGCTGCAGGGCACTAATCCCATATGGACAATAAACAGCACCCGCATTCCAGAAAAAGTATAAATATCCGCAAATTAAACTCAGAGTAGCACGCAGCCATACAGTGAGCACAAAGCGAACTATTCTTTCGCCTTTTACTAAAGAATACGTGTGCTCACTGCTCAAAGTGGCATACGCCTATTTTTGGAGGGTTTTTTCTTTGGAATAAGCCCTAAAATCTGAGTTTAAGAGTTAACTTTTCGATATATATTGGTTTTTCAAGGCCTGTAATTTCAGTAAGAAAATTGAGTTTTTAAGAGATCACTTTCTGTATTTCTATAGAAACATTGGTTGTTTCTTCAGCATGAGTAGAGTTGGTGATCTATGTTTGGTTCTTCCCCAAGAAGAGGACTTGTTTGAGCAATCATGGAAATCAGTTTCGAAAGGTTGTGTATAGGCTCCTGTTGGATCCTACAAGTTAGAGCTGAAGGTACTGTCTCGAATGTTAATGGTGATTTATAAAAGAAAAAGCTCTACCTTTTTTGCTCCCTTAAAGGTTGTATTTCATAAAAGAATATGGTATTCAACTTGCTAACCCGAGTTTTACTGACGACACAGTCCGTATTCAACTTGCTCCATCCACATGGAGGCGCTTGCCTGGCGATTCGACTAAT